CAAGGGAAAAACTTGCTGCTTTACAACAATTGGTTCAAGAACAATTGGCTGCTGGTCATATAGAACAGTCCTTGGAATACTCCTGTTTTTGTTATAAAAAGAAAAATGGGAAATGGCGTCTCCTGCAGGATTTAAGAGAAATTAATAAATGTATCCAACCCATGGGTCCTTTATGATGTGGTCTACCAAATCCTAACCTAATTCCTAATTTTTATAAATTATTGGTAGCTGATCTTAAAGTCTGCTTTTTTACTATACCTTTGTAGCCTCAGACAAAATTCAAAAGGTAGAACCTTATACCTACTTAGGACATAGAATGTTGCACAATTTCTCCATTCCAATTCTTCCTGAATTACAAGTACAGAAATCATATACATTAGTACAATGGCAAAAATTACTTGGCATTATTAATTGGGCACGCCCATTCTTTTACATTACAACTGGTGATATGTTGCCCTTATTTCAGTCTTTGAAGGGAGCACAATCACCAGGAGATCTAGCTGTATTAACTGATCCTCAAAGAACATGCCTTCAAGAAATAGTGAATAAGTTTAAGATTGATATGTGGACAGGATAACATCCTTAACAATAGGACTTTGCTTAGCTATTCTTCCCACTATACCCTTACCCACGGGATGTCTTTATTCTAATGCGTCCCCACAAGCGGTCAACATTCATGAATGGATTTGTCAGCTACTCTGCCTAGAAACATTTATCCTTATCAATCAGCATTAGAGGATTTGATTATTAAAGGTCGTAAACGAGCCTTACATCTTACAGGACAGGATCTCATTAGCATAGCTTTCAGTCGTACAAAAGTTGAACATGAGCATTTGATGATGATTTCAGAATCATATCAGATAGCCTTTTCTCAATATGTGGGAAACTTGTTGTATTCTTTACCCAAGGATCGTAGAATAGTGGTGACTAATACTTTAAATCTGGCCTTTTCTTCCATTTTTGTGCGAAATCCTATTTCTAAAGCTCTTACAGTCTTTACTGATGGATCACCTACAAGGGGTGTGGTTGTCTGGCAGATTCAACAACAATGGTATTCTAAATTTACTGCCACGCAGACTTCAGCTCAATGTGCTGAGCTGGCTGCTGTGATTTTGGCTTTACGATTGTTCAATGACCAACCTATTAACTTGATTGTTGATATTCAATATGTGTATTTAGCTATGCAATCTCTTCCCTTTTCTTATTGTGCTCTCTCTTTGGATAAGAATTTGTTATCCTTGTTTTTATCTTTAAAGAATAGTTTGGAAACGCTTGTATTCTTTGTATGTAGAACACATTCAAAGTCATACTCCCTTTACTAATGCCTTGACTGAAGGAAATCGGAAGGTAGATGAATCCTTAAAGGATGTTTCGTCTTTGTTTGCTGATTCTGTTGCCAGTCATTCTTATTTTCATCAAAATGCCAAATCGCTTGCAAAGCAATTTAAAATTTTATTATCTCAAGCCCGGGATATTGTCCGTGCTTGTCAGCAACTGGCAGTTCCCTTTCCAGTCGGTGTCAACCCACGAGGAACCCAAGCTAATCAAATTTGGCAAAGGATGTAACTCAATTTTCAACCTTTAAGCCATACTGTTATCTTCATACGTCTATTGACACTCATTCACACTTCCTTTGGGTTACTGCTTCAAAATATGAACGTACTTCAGATGTTATTTCTCATTCCCTATCCTCTTTTGCTATAATGGGTCGGCTTTCTCAGTTTAAAACTGACAATGGCCCCGCTTATATTAGTAAGGAATTTCAAACCTTTTGTCAGAAATGGAATATTACTTTAGTGCACGGAATTCCTTACAACTCTCAGGGTCAAGCTATAGTTGAGCAAGCTCATCGTACTTTGAAGGCATTGCTTCAGAAACAATTACAAACTGAGTCTGGCCCTTACCATCTGCGAAAGATTCAAAATCTCATTGCTGTAGCATTATATACTTGGATTTATTTAACCTTTTTAGATTCTCTTGCAGACTCACCTGTTAATTTGCATTTTTGAATTACTGAATATTTAGCAAGCCCTTTGGTAAAGTATCGCCAAGTTCCAGATCCAACCTGGAAAGGCCCTACACCGCTGATCACCTGGGGTCACGGTTATGCTGCCGTGGAAGATCCTTCTACTCGACAAGCAGTGTGGGTTCTAGCGCGCTGTGTTCATCCGTATCATGGCATGGCATCAGGGCCTTCACAACCCAATTCCGGATTTCAATCTTCATCTGAACACAGAAGTCTGGCTTCCAAGGTCAACGCGCCTGCAACCCATTACTTGGGGCCAGGTTAAATCTACTACATATCAAGCTCAACAACAACTGCAACAGGCCTCATTACCTCAGACTCCTGAAAATCTTGTTGCTGCTGTTTTTGCTATTATTACTGCTAACTCTGTTACCATTTTACTTTGTATTTTCTTTTTTATGGTTAATGGTGTTTCTGCTCAAAATGATACTTCTGTGGTTCATCTTAACCCTAATTTGTGGGTTCGTTATGCCCAATACATGTTTATGACCCATGGCACAAATATTACTTTATACTATGAGCCCCCAATGGCATTTGGTCAAATTTCTTTTACCCCTAACTTGATCATGTCTTCTACATTTATTGTCTCACAACTACAATCTATTCTACACTCCTGGCTATTTTCTACACCCCCTATGCAATTGAATTCTGTCCATTGGCGTTACTTGAAAGTTAGTCAGTTTACAAGGGGTCTGTGTTTCTGTTGTCACACTAAACACACTTGGCTTCATAATTGGTCTGATTATGCTGCTGCTCAGCACATATTTAAAAAGCTAGGAAATTATAGTTATTGTTCTACTATTGGTTGTCAGGTACCTTTAATTCTTCTTTGCATGGAATTAATATAGCTCCTGATATGTATCCTGACAATTCTCCTATTTTTAATGCCTCTGATCAATCTAATACAGGATCGATATGCGCTGGTTGGCAGCTTAAGGATCCTAATATGTGGTTCTTTTTTGATAAATATGCTACTAATGTTCATCCTTTGAATTATCAATGTGCAACTATAGGTTATTTTACTCTACCTGTTCAAATAGGTATGCTCCCATCAACTCGACAGAGGCATTCCTCTCTGGGGCCTACATGTAATGATGAAGTCATTATTGATATACAATTGTCTTCTGGTTCTACATTTGGCCGTGCATTGGCAGGGGCCATTACAGAAGTCTTTACTCTAGGCTCTTATCCTGGCATGATTGCTCAAGAAAACAGACGATCTATTCTTGGTCTCACCTGCAGACTTGAAAAATCCATCAATGCTACCGCTGCTATTATTCGTGATCTGCAGCATGAAATAGAAGATTTAAATCAAGATGTCTTACAGCAGTGTTTTGCCATAGACTATCTTTTAGCTGGTCAGGGAGGGTTCTGTACGTTAGTTGGACGCCGTGGATGTACTGTGCATTTTCATTCTTTGAATAAAACTATTGAGGATGAGCTTGCCAATTTACAATCATACATTCAAAATAATATCCATGCTCATTACTCACCTTTTGAGTGGCTAACCAATTGGCTCCCTGATTGGTCTTGGCTCAGTTTTTCTTTTATGCTATAATTATTATTATTGTACTAATTGCAACCTGTTGTTTTACTCAATGTATTCCAAATTTATTCGCATTGTTTCGTCCTGCTTCCCTCTCTCTTAATCCTCTACAATTGCGATACATTCAGAAATCTTTGAATCCTCCATTTAAAATAAAAAACGAGGATATGTAGAGTTGTAATTGCAGGAATGTTCCAATCTCAGATGGCAAACCTCAGATAAAGAATGTTTCCAAGCAAATACAACTCAGGTAAACAAAGTCACTAATCTAAAGGAGGATTAGAGAGAGGAAGTAAACATATGTTAGACTTTAACTAGAGATAATTGATTGTATGGATTACTGTGCTAAACAGTAACGAAAGTTAAGCAGTAACCAAAGTTAACCAGTGATGGAGGATAACTAAAAATGTGTATAAATGCAAGACTAGACTCCAATAAAGATCATCATGATTCAGTTGTTCATGATCAAACAACTTGACTGCCTCGTCATTACAACACCCAGGCTCCAGAACTGGCCCAAGTTCTTCCCCAACCCCCTCATCACTCGCTGGAGGGCCACAACATACATGAAATTGCATATGAATATAGTTTGCAAGGATTGTTCGTGAGAATATAAAATGTAGTGATGGTATTACAAACTACAGATAGTCCTTGACTTATAACAGTTCATTTAGTGATCATTCAAAATTACAATGGCACTGAAAAAAGTGACTTATAATCATTTTTCATACTTACGACCATTACAGCATCCCCATGGTCACGTGATTAAAATTCAGATGCTTGGCAAGGTAACTCACATTTATGACGGTTGCAGTGTCTCCTAGAGTTATGTGATCACATTTTGCAACTTCTGACAAGCAAAGTCAATGGGGAAGCCAGATTCACTTAACAACCATGTTACTAACTTAACAAATGCAATTTATTTAACAACTGTGGCAAGAAAAATCATAAAATGGGGCAAAATTCACTATCCAAATATCTCACTTAGCAACAGAAATTTTGGGCTCAATTGTGGTCGTAAGTTGAGCACTATCTGTACTTTTCTTATACTGCCTTCATTTCCCCAGACAATAATACTTACACCTTTTCTACATTTGGCATTATGTTGGTTAGTCCAAGAGGAAACAGCATGCTGGATATGCACATATGCATCTATGTAGATTCCTCAGAGACAAAGTTATCAATCTCTAATGTCCTCTGACTTGAAATTCTTTCTTTGCAGCCTAAAAATACAGCTTCTACCTATCACCAGCTACTTGATATTCCTTTTAAACTAGAATTACAATGAACTGAATTAAATATTCTTGGTCTACCACTGTATCCACAAACTTTCCTTCCCAATAGAGGAAAGGAATTGTTTATGAGAATTAAGCCCACTGAGGCCTAGGTCCCAGACATTTTTCTCCCCTCCACCCTGCAGTCTCTTACTTTACATCCTTTTGAATTCATGGAGTCAATGGTTCGGCGAATGGCAGGGTTGGGAGGTTCTATCAGCTCCACCTGTGTGCGCACATTCAATTCCAGGTAAGGTCCAATCAGGAAGTAATTCTCGCCCCATTCATCCAATGTAATCTTGGCTTTTGTCTGGATAACAGTGAAGATCCCACCAACTAAAAGAAGACAGAATAAGGTACTTGTTTTCTCCTTGCATGCTTATAAATTATTCTAAGCACCCACCTTAGTCAAGCTTTAGAACAATGTAAATTTGCTGTAATACAGCTTTGTTGGCTGGGGAATTCTGGAGGTTGAAGTCCACGCATTCTGAGTAGAGTAGAGTAGAGTGGAGTAGAGTAGAATGAATTCTTTATTGGCCAAGTGTGATTGGACACACAAGGAATTTGTCTTCGGTGCATAAGCAAAAGTTGCCAAATTGAGAAAATCTGCTCTAACATTTTATTTAATGTAATTCATTCTTCAATATTGTATGGGTGTGCTAACACATCCTGAATATGTGACAAGCAATATAAACCTGTTTAAAATAAATCTAAGAATGTAGAGATTTCAGTATCTGATCAGTCTGTGCTCACTTGACTCTAAATGTGAAATTCATCAGCTGTGGTTCCAGGACAAAGTAGTACATTTTTTTCAGATTAATTAAATTACTGGAGATTTGCTAAAGCAAGGTTTTTAACCATGCTGCTGAGGAATTCTGGGAATTGTAGCCACCCACTTATCAGGTGAAAATCAAGGTAAGCTGATCAAAGCTGCATTACAGCGTTGTTAACAATCTAAATATGGCTTTAAAAGTAACTTTGATTAATGCATGGAAAATTGGCCTGTTGTTGACTATTGGTTCCAATGACTGTTTCAGTAATTGAAATGAACTAAATGTAGACTATTTCTAAAAACAATTTGGAAGTTGCATGGAATTTGTACAAGTGAGCTTTTCTGTTTGCATCCTGTTTTTATCCCATTGCACTGAGGGACCTTTGTCAAAATCTCTGCCAATCATCTGTTTCCAGATTCCTTTTAAAGGGTGTTAGGAATAGGTCCACCAATCAGTTGGATTGGCAATATATAAACCAACAATGTTATGTTTGTAGCTTTAAGACAAAATCAATTTATTGATTGATACTATATTCCGATTGGTTGATTATATTGCAAATTACCATAAGAGGGTGCTAGAGATACCTTGCTCTCTGACATTCTGTCTCTCTGACATTCTGTTGCTATCTAAGGTTCTCTGTTGTATTTATGCTTATACTTTGATATTTTTGTTTACTGTAAATGACAAAGGCAACCGGAAAGAAGACTTGGTAATTGGATATTCTTTGGACTATTAAACGTATATGACCTGGACCGTTTATTGGACTGTGCTATTTCTTAAACTAAACTTTAACTCAATTTAATGTATCTGTGTGTGGCTGGATAATTATTCATAACTATTCTCATAAATGTTTCCATGTTCATATCCTTGTTACTCAAGGGTTATTCTGTACATATAACAAAGGGCTTTCTATGAGATCTCCCCCAATGATCAAAGTGGTAGACAGTATCAAGGAGATTGGTTTGGCCTTTTAGTGGCTTATGGCACTCTGATTATGAAATAATTACCCAGAGAAGTTCACCTAATATTATATAATTTATGATCCCATTTTTTCATGTGCGGTTATTTTATACTATTATTTTAACATTGTATTTTTGAGATACTTGACAGATCCAGCTAAAATGACCAATACCTCACCAGAAAGCAAAAATGCAATGTTATGATCAAACTAAAACTCTTTATGTTCCATTCCCCTAAATAAATCATGATTTGTCATACCTGCACCCCACACAAAAGCAGATGGATTATGGAAGCAGACAGGCAGGCTATTATCAGTCATACCAGCACAAAAGATGCCTGCAAGAGGAATTGGGTTCTCTCTCTCTCTCTCTCTCTCTCTCTCTGTGTGTGTGTGTGTGTGTGTGTGTGTGTATTTTATAGTATACAACTCAGCCAAAAGACCTTTCTTCATATATTCAATCTTCTCCAAGTGGCTGGACTCCAATTCTCTTCCGGGGAAGCAGGCAAACCCAGTCATCACTTACAAACCACTGTATTTATTTTACTCTCAAGGACCCTGGCTCTCTCAACTAAATTCTCCTCCCCTCTTGAGGAGCCTAAGAATCTTGGCTCTTTGCTTCCTCCTCCAAACAGGGACTTTTACAGGAAAAGCAATAAGAACACCCACATGAATATTCTATGAGGAAAGAGTGATTAGGAAATAGCACTGCAGAACACAAGAACCTGAAGCGTTGCAATGAAACTAAACAGAGCTTGGACTGTGCCCAGAGATGAAGGTTTAGAATCATGGATAAACAGTAATGACTTATTGCTGAGGAACTGCGTGCATTTAGAAAGATTTGCCCAAATAATAATTAAAACAGCCTTTCCAGCTTGGGTGCCCTATATATGTCCCCTCCCAGAATTTAACAGTCACCATGCTATTTAGAAAACTAAGGAGTTGAAGTCTATACCTAGGGAGCAAACTTAGGCAGGGGAAGGCTTCTTTAATAGGTTCAATTGATTCTCTTTGTGAGATCATTTCATTATCATAAGAGTTAGAAAGAGGATGGACATTTTGCAATGGATTTGCTCTCAGAAGCAAGAAAATGAAATCTTTTTCATGAAGTTCTTGGCTCAATCCTTCAACCTTGATATTTTCTTGAAGTAATGGCAGTCCAGAGGATTCTGAAATCCTTTTCTGGGCCTCTATAAACCTCTCCCAAATGTATCATTGAGAAGAAATATCCTTTTAAATCTAAAATAGTTTTAATATAGCAAAAAAAGGGGGGGAAATGCAACTCTCTCTAGGGAAAAAATCCAAGAATATCTTAAACTAACTCAAATCTCTAATAGCACATTGTTCCCCTACCCACTGCTCTTCCAAACTCTCTTCTAAAAAAGTGAAGCAAGGCTCCCAATTAGTAAGTAAGCCCATAGCTTAGAAACAATCATATCTTACTTCCTGATTGCTACACTACTCTCTTCTTCCTCTGTTGGTTCGTATACTAGATTTTATGTTGTAAGCAATGCAAGGCAGGAACCCGCCCTCTCAAAGTCCATAAAGCGTCAAACACTCTAACAGCATAACAATGAAAAAGACCAGATTAACTAATGCACACTCTGATAGAGAGAAGTTCCTTGAAGATGGGTTCCAGTAGGAGTTTAAAAGCTCAGAAGACAAAACCACTGATCCTAGTGACCGACCCAGATTAGATTCTGCAACATTATCCTGGGATGCGTACATCCGCCTTCATTTGTAAAACCAGATTAAATTCTTTTTCAGAGACTTTTCTTGAGCTGCTGCCCTCAAGCCTCAGAATCTCGTTACCCTCAAACGAATCAACTCTCTCTTCCAGACAAATTGATCTTTTACCTTGTATGCTATCCTTCAAGATTTATGAGACTTTTATCCGGTTTGATCTAGATAAAATATTCATCAATAATCCTGATTTTGTTGCCATATCTCCTTGGCTGGAATTGCACTTATATGCTCCAGCCAGCCTACTTTACAGAGTTCTTGATGTGGGCACAAAATTAAGGGAGGAAGCTCTTTCGAGAACTCAGGGAATGTTGAAATACATTCATATTTATTTAAATTGACTTAGGGCCTTTTCACTCCTCCTGTCCTTAGGAGCAAATGAGGTTGTTGGGAGTGTTGGTGACAAGCAGAAAGCAACTTCTGGAAAAAAATACTTTGTGAAATGGGAATAGCATTCCTACAAGGGAAAAAGTTAGTCTGCAGATCAACATTTTTTTTCCGTTTCTTCTTTTTCAAAAAAAATATATAGTCCAATAATCACCATCCAGATAAGATTCCATAATCCATATCCTTTAGGCTTTGGATGACAGATGTTACCAGAAACCACCCAAATGGTCTTCAATGCTTCCTTCCACTATCAAGTGACAGTCCCACCAGCTCTGGCTGGCCTTCCTACCACACATTAATTACATTATATGCTTTTTAAAGGCATTTTAGAACTAGTTATTAGATAAATGAAGGCCCCTCACATAGATAACACATGGCATTGCTTCTCTCTCTATAGCTCTCTAGGATAAGTCTCACCTTGGAGCTGCAGTCAATTGTCAACTAAAGGTCCAGAGGGGGAAAATGAGTAATAAATTGAACTCTGACCTATGTCTCCCCTGGGTGCCTGCATCCCACACCCAGGACATCGTATCCTGCATTCCATGATAAACATAGTCTATACTGAATATATTCACAAACTGTTCAGAAGATCCAAGGCTTCTCCAAGAAATGTTCTTGCCTGAAGCAAAAAAAACCCCTATGCCTCTTTATTCTTACTTGGACATAAGCGATGAGAGAGTTCTGCAAATGATCACAGGGCAAAAGACAGAGATAGGCCACAAAATATGCAAGTAGCCTTGTCTGAGGGAACAACTCAAAACTGAGGCATCTGTCTTGTTCAGAGGCAGAAATGGCCCTGAGTATCATCCTTGTATCCTAACAAAGACCATCATCTTTAGTAGCAAAATAATGCCACCCATTGACAAGAAAAAGGCAATACCTGTGGTAAATTCAGGGAAAGGCCATATGCAGATTTTAAAAAAAACCTAGGAAAAACAATCACTTTGTGGGAAAAGATCAAAGTCTTTCTACAAATAGTTTGTTGGGAAGACAGATTAAAAACAGAGGAAATGTATGAAATTAAGGGGCGAAAAGCATGAGCAGCATTTCACGCTGCAACATTTTGTTGAAGATACAAATAGTTGACTAAAATATTTTTCTGACATGGTCATTTCTGGTAAATTCCCTGATAAAATATTTAAAGTGAAATGTGGCATTTTAAAAAAATCTAATAGGTGTATAGTATGTGTGTTTACAAATAGGGATGTACATTCATAAAAAGACTTAAAAGCCAATTCTTTTTGGCAAAATGACAGTACAAATTCCGTTTGTATTGGCTTGGAAGTGAAAACCACTGCATCCAGTAGGATTCACTACACTAAACAAATTCTAGTTTACAACTGTTATCCAGCAGGGTCACTGTGTAGCAATTCTGTAGGTTTATGGTAGACCATGAGTTCTAATCCTGTCCTAGGCATGGGTGCTAAGCCAGTCATTCTTTCAGCCCTAGGACAAAAGCAATAGTAAATCGCTTTCAAAAATGTTGTCAAGTGAACTGCAAGGGCTTATGCAGGTAATCACCAGGAATCAAGAAATGCTCAAAGGCATACAGACAAAAGTGCTTTTTGGCCAGTATTGAGAATTACAAGCAGGGCTATTTAAAGAGGATTCTGGGCTTCCTACATCTTGCATGTATTTGATGACTGGTAGCATGGTCTACTTTATTACCTGGTAGAATAATCTTTAATTAATACATTAAAAATAATTATATGGCTGGGATGGTATGGAAGATTCTGCTCATTGGCCATCTGCTATTCAAAGTGGCTATCCTGGCTGGAATTGAGTATCTAAACAGGGATGCAGCTTCTCAAGGAATGAATGACATTTCAAAAAGTTTATTATGCAGTGGAGGATGTGGTTGAGGAGGTTGTATTTATTTCACATACAGATATATTATTGAGTATACATCAAGAATATGCACAGCAGATGCTCAAAACTCAAGCTAGGCCTAATTAGCTTCAAATGCAGTTATTCCTAAAGCAAGCACATGAGAATAGTTTTATAGTAACATTGGTAGATATTCAGATTTACTGGGAATCCCTATCCTTTTTAAAAGAACATAGTGCTCTTCTGGTTGTTTTTTGACACAATCACGTTACTACAGGGAAAGTCAGCCTGAAACCCTTGGGATCTCAGTGCCTTAAACTTCCAGATGTGTAGCAGCTGATTCCAGAAGGGGATCTTCTCAATGAACACACAGTGACAGCAGCTTGCTGCCTGGTCTGCCCTGGAAATGTTCACTATAAAAGGGTACTGTTATCTCAGACAGCACTAACCCATATATGAAAGATTTATGGGTGGGAGGATCTGAGAATAGCCAAGGAGGGGAAAGGCCTAAGGGATCTCCTAAAGTGCTGAGCAATGTTGCTTGGAAGGAACTGCAACCGTTACATGAACTTCCTTTCTCTCCAGTGAGCCTTTTTTTTAAAAAAAAATGCAATTTTTTTGCTTTAACATTCAGCATGCCAGTCAATCATTTTTAAAAAGAGAGATGTATAACCTGTTTCCCAATTATTATTTTTTTTGCCTTCATATCATGCCCTTCCACAATTCAATGAGTTGCTCAAGTATTGGTCTATTAGGCCTGATTCTTTACTACCTGCTCAACCAAGAGTCTTTGGCCAGCAATCAGATAAGTCTTTGTTTCTACAGGTAGTCCTTGACTTACAACAGTTCAAAGTTACAATGATACTGGAAAAAGTGACTCATGACTGTTTTTCATGCTTAACAACTGTTGCAGTATCCCCATGGTCAAAATTTGGATGCTTGGCAAGTGGTTCATATTTACAACGGTTGCACTGTCCTGGGGTCAGGTGATCTTCTTTTGCAACCTTCTGGCCAGCAAGGTCAACTTGGAAGCCAGATTCATTAACAACCACGTTACTAACTTAACGAAAGCAATAATTCACTTAACAATTGTGACAAGAAAAAGTTGTAAAATGGGGCAAACCCACTTGTTTCACTTAGCAACATAAATTTCGGGCTCAATTATGGTCGTAAATTGAGAACTAACTGTATAGACTCCATTCCCAGGGGATATTTGAACTCTGGCCTCAGCTCTTTCAATACTGCTCATCCTTTGGCTTGCAAATGGCTCTGTAGGACCTGTTTCCAGCCATATTCCCGCAAGAAATTCAGGCCTACCAATTCCCAAACACTCCTGCGCCAACTTTGGAAACCTGATCATTTCCCCAAGATCTTCTTTAAAAATAGTAATCACGTACCTTTATTGGCTACCTCCCAAGCCACTTCAAAAAGAATGGCATTATCAAGGTCAAGTTCATCTTCCCAGTCCTCCAACCCAGAGAGGGAGGTCACGGACAGGCTGCGGGTCAGTGGCATGGCCTCAAGAGGAGGAAAGCAAGGGTAAGAGGACTTGGGGGTTGGGAGGGGTTCTCAAGGCCTAACCTGAAGAAACAGAAAGATGTGGTCAATAGACAGGTCAACATCTGCTCAGGACCATTACAGCAGGTAGCAATTTAAACTTCCCCCCACCCCACCCCCAAATATGTCATGTGTCTGTCCTGTAACCTTGCCCAGGCTGCTGCAGGCCTACCTTGTTCTAATCTTAATCATTATAAGCCAATTTTTTCCCCTCCCTCTGGCTCTTCCAACCCCAGATAGCTGTCTTTGAGTCTGGAGTAACAGCAACAGCTGAAGGAAGGAACAAGGTAAGATGGTGGAAATCGCCAGACATGGGGGGAGTTTGCAACAGATTTATGTCCTGGAGCTTTCCAAAAGGGGTTCATTTGGGAGTTAGCCAGGATACTCTATAAGATTTCTGGGCACAGCCAGGAAAGAATAATGCCAAACCATTAAAAGCAACTATTTAAGACAATGGGCTAAAAGGAACAGTGCCCCCCCACATCTCGGTTTGACACACTAGATCCCTTATTTGGGCTGGGTGACGTGCAAGGGAAAGAACAGACAAAGTTCCTTTAAGGGGTTGCAGGAAGCAGAGATGGGGGGGGGGGTTGAATGGGGAAAAACCTTAGATTTGGGGGATACCAAATCTGTGCCTCTAAGTTGCCCGGGGAGGGGGAAAAGGTTTTTTTCTTGCGAAGGGTACACTAATGACAACGAAGTGGGAAATCAACGTCGCAAGATTTGCAGAGGAGCATTCAAGCTCGTCCCCGTGAGAAATCGGGGGTGCAGGAAGGAGCTGGGAATGAATAAAAAGGTTGCGTGCGTTGAAAGATTCTTGTGGCCTTTAAAAGGGATGAAGGAGCCCGAAATCTTGGCGAAGAGTGGGGAAGCCCGCTCGCACTTACCTCTCGGCAGCCGAAGTCTAAGGACTCCCAGTACCTCCACCACCTCCGCCGCCAAGACCACGCAGACCCTGAAGCCACGCCCAGGAGGTGGCTCCGAAGACTTAAAGGAGAAGCGTCGCCGAGGCGCGGGTGCGGGGTGGCGGGTGGGGGGGAGAGGAAAGAGAATTGAGGCTCCCTGGAAATTGCTTTCGGTGGAAGGGAACTCGAAAGCGAGGCCCAAAAATAAAAAATCAGGTGGGATATAAATGCACGGTGAGATCCGGAGGTAAAAAGAAAACGTAGTAGATGGGAAGTATATTATGCGTGCATAAGCGCACCAATCGTGTCTACCGTCCTTGTCCTATTGTTTCTTTTTATTTTTCTTATAAGTATCTATCTCATGTATTCAAAACTATGTTTATTCTTATACCTGTATCTTGTAAGGGATTGACAAATCAAATAAATGCTAAAAGAAAAATACTAAAGTACAGGTAGTCCTTGACTTACAACAGTTCACTTAATGACCATTGGAAGTTACAATGGCAATGAAAAAAAGTGACTTACAACCTTTTGTCACACTCACGTTGCAGCATCCCCGTGGTCATGTAATTTACATTGGATGTTTCACAACTGACTCACGTTTATGACGGTTGCACTGTCCTGGGGTCATGTGATTCCCTTTGTCCACCTTCTGACAAGCAATGTCAATGGGGAAACTGGATTCACTTAAATGTTACTAATTTAACAACTGCAGTGATTCACTTAATACACTGGGCAAGGAAAAGTCATGACAGGTCGGACACGACTTCGCAACTAACAACAACAGCAGCAATGAAAGAAAACCAAGAGTAAAAACATCAGGTAGGGATAGAACAGTAGATAAAAAAAGGATTGTAGCTGAACAATGGGGTAATGATGTGAAGACTGATGCAAAGATTGGCATAAAATTTGAAAGGAAAGGAGATTACAGGATAAAAGGAAGTAGTTTGGTTTGGTTTACTTTATTGTCATTGCACTTCACAACAAAATTAAATACCATCTTCAGTGTACATTATGGCTATCAAAATAAACACAAACACATCCTTCATAGTCTATACAATTGAATTGAAAACCCCTGATACTGCATTATATAGAGTAGAATCCAATATAGTTACTGGTCTGGGATAAAAGCTGTTTTTCAGCCTATTTGTCCTTGGTTTTTATTATCCTGTACTGTCTGCCAGATGATAATAGTTCAAAAAAAGGGTTCCCAGGATGAAATGGATCTTTGAGAATGTTTTGAACTTTCTTAAGGCAGCGGGAGCTATAAAGCTCTTCCAAAGAGGGGAGAGGGCAACCAATGATCTTCTGGGCAATGACATTAATCCTCTGGAGTACTTTCCTATCTGCCACTATGCAATTGGCAAACTATACATAGGTGCAGTAAGTTAAAATACTCTATGGCGCAGTGGTAGAAGATCACCAGCAGTTTTCCATTCAGTTGTTGTTTTCTGAGAAGTCTCAGGAAATATAATCTCTGCTGGGCCCTTTTGACCAGGGCTGCAATGTGAGCACCCCAGGTCAGGTCCTCTTTTAGGGAAACATCCAGAAACTTCAAACAGGCCACTTGCTCCACTTGGTCTCCATTGATAAGCAAGGGCTGGATGTCTGATCTGTTCCTTCTGTAATCCACTATAATCTCCTCGGTCTTATTGGTGTTGAGAACCAACACCAATTTTTTCAAGTAACTGAAAAAACAATAAAAAAGAAATGGCTAGAGAAAGATGGAAAATCACAAGTAGATGGAGATTGCCAGGGAAATAACCTTTTGATTGTTGGGATATTAATAGTCACAAAGTAGAACTGATAAATCGGGCTACAAAATATTAATCCACGTAGCAGGGGCTGAAGAAGTGTAGGCTTGAAATAATTGGTGTGGTGGTAAACCGAGTTATAAACTATGCAGATCTTAAAGCCCACATGAAGAACAAATTGTATTACATGTAGTCCTTGATGTAACAATGTATTTAGTGACTATTCAAAGTTACAATGGCACTGAAAAAAAGTGACTTATTATGACTTGTTTTTTATGCTTACAACCATTGCAGCATCCCCATGGTCATGCAATCAAAACTGGCCAACTGGCAACTGATCATATACATGACAGTTGCAATGTCCCAAGGTCATGTGATCACTCTGATGACTTTCTGACAAAGCAAAAGTCAGTGGGGAAGCCAGATTCTCTTAACAACGGAGTATTAACAATTACGATGATTCACTTAACAACTATGGTAGGAAAGATTGTAAAATGGGGCAAAACTCACTTAAAAGCTATCTTGCTTAGCAACAGAAACTTTGGGCTCAATTGTGGTTAATGTAAACTAAAAAATACTTCTTTGGTCTTTTTAGTTGCCAGCAGAAAGGGAGTTGGGGGAAAGCAGTGCATTCCTTAAATGCTTCAGATAATCACCTTGGCAGCCAAAGCTGTGCAAGATTATTACTGGAGAGCATGATTGATGACTCTTGGCTATGGATGTGTCTCATTGGAGAATATACATCCAGGGGGTGGGGGGAAGACCAGGGTCAAGGGTAAAATGAATGATGTGTCAGAGTCCGCTGCAACCAGGAAACACCAACATGTTAATTCCTAATAAATCAATCTTTTTTTACTCTGAGAGATGCGGCTAGAGACTTGTGATTTGAATGGGGGTGCATGTTGGAGCCTTGACAGCTGTAAGTTGAGAACTACCTATATTTAGGTACAATTTTACCTCTGCTTATCCCAAGGCCCTGAATGACAAGCAATTAAAAGAGATAAACATTATAAAATTTGCCTGATTTCATTATATTCTTGTGTTTGTTATTATTATTATTATGTGGGTACACATGCTAGCTTCATTCAAAAGATTTACCATTTTCAAAAGAGCCAGTGAATGGGCAAGTTTCTAAGGGAAAAACGTGGAAGAAAAAAACACTATAGCTTACTTATTCAGGACCTAAAGGCTGTGGCCCCATACGCACCATAGAATTTATAACTGAGATTTAGTTCCATGAGATTTTTATTTTATTGCTTTTTTCATTTCCATTTTCAGCCTTCAAAAGCACCAAATCAATTTCCAACATAATTGTGAGCTCAAGGTCCTTTGGTTAGAAGCTGTAATGAAACTTGACTCACCTAGATGACAGCCCATCAGGAGAGGCTAAATTAAGAGTTCCCCAGTTCCCTTCATTTTATCTGAGCAAAATTCTTATCTGGTAAGATAGGCTAAGAGAGATTGATTCATTCACTTTTCATAACACTGGATAATAAATCAAAATAGGAAAAAACGAGAGAGGGTGGTGGAATGTGACAAATGTAATCCCAGTTTCTTTTGATTTAGCTCATGGAGAATCTGATGTCTCTTGGTATCATTTCTTCTTACTGTGATGTTCTTTAAAACACTTTAATGCTTCCCATAATTATTGTCCTGTTCCGGGTTGCAAAGAACTTGTCACTGTTTTGAGCATTTATTCAAGATTTTCCTCTTGAAATAAATTATTCTATTAATTGTATTAAATAAAAGACTCGGGTTAGCCAACCTTGCTTTTTAAAATAAAAATAAAAATTCCTCCACGGCCACTGTGAAACATGTTTTACCCGAACTCAAGTATTTGGGTAGGGGGGGTGCATAAGCGCACCAATCGTGCCTACCGTCCCTGTCCTATTGTTTCTTTTTATTTTTCTTATAAGTATCTATCTCATGTATTCAAAACTATGTTTACTCTTATACCTGTATCTTGTAAGCGATTGAAAAATCAAACACTAAAAATATTTCCCCAACTTTATCCAACACATTTTTGTCAATGGCCTCACGTCGGACCAATAGGAAAGAGGCAAACTTCTACCAACCAGCTTCCACGAGAGAATTCAAAAGACCCGCCTCTTATTTTCCAGGAAGCTTTCATTCGTTGGTGGAGACGGTTCTCGCCCCATGAATGATCACAAAAACAGCCAGTGATATTTGTTAGTTTATTGACTGATCCCAATTTCTACCAATTATCTTGACCTATGAGTAAAAGAACTTCGATCTTCCCAAGTAGAACGTGGATGATGAATGTAAACCACTGAATTGATATACTAATAATTGCTTCTGCTGTATTTGCTTTTCTACCAATGGCATATCTGAAATAGCAAACGCTGAAAAGTGAATGAAGGATATTGCAAGAGGTGGTTAATTCGACTCCCGAGATTAAAAAGTGGTTTAATTGAAGTTTTGCTGTTGAACGACACCTCGTTAACTAAACATGTTTCCCCTAGTTTTAGGATGGGCATATTCATCTTGGAAGGCGCATAGCTTTGAATAATTTAGGGACTGAGGAGTTTCCGGTCTTCGCCACTACTCTTTCCCTTTCAAAATAAATGGCGCCTCCTCCATCCCATCCTTTGTTATACTGCACTTCCCTCATAGTGACATCGGTTGGAATACGGGGTTTGAATGCGAACGCTATGACAGCCACTTCAGGTAATCAGTGCGTTGCTTCTTCCCGCCCCTTAGAAGTTAAAACCCCAAACGCTTGGAGAAATGCAGATACCTTTCAGTGACTGACAACTACGTCCCCTCCAATAAATTATCCGAGAAACTGCCTCTGATCCTTATTGGTGAAAGGTTTCCTTATTTCACCAATGGCAATTCACGATCATGATGAGGAGGCGTTCCCCGACATTTCCTACTTGTGTCTATGGTCCGCAAAAAAAAAAAAAAGGAGAAAAAAAAAAAAAAAAAAGGAGAGCCTGCGCCTGCGCACACCGAACCTTTTCTCTAAATGCGCCCAATACGGTTTGAAATAGTGAGGGAGGGTCCTTTCCCTTCCTGACTGACTGACGGAGATCCCGCCGACCAATGAAAACCTGGGAGGCGGGGCTGCCCTCTTTCCCCACCTCCCCTCTTGAGTGACGGAGAGGCCGCCCAATAGAATGCCCAGTCCCCTCCCCACGACTGAACGAGGCTGGGGGAGTCTGGCCAGCAGTTCTCTTTTTCTGTCTCATTCGCAAGATGGCGGAGGCTGCAAACTGCATCATGGAGGTGAGGGAATGAGGGAGGGAAGCAGAGGGAGAGAAAGAAGGGGGGAGCCGGAGACTGCCGCTGGCC